GAGGAGGAGGAGGAGGAGGAGAAGGAGAAGGAGCAGGATGAGGAGGAGGAGGAGGAGGAGGAGGAGGAGGAGGAGGAGGAGGAGGAGAGAGGAGAGGAGAGAGGGGGAGGATAAAGAGGAGGGAGGGGGAGGAGGAGGGGAGAGAGCAGAGAGGAGAAAGGCCAGCAGGCGGGCAAAGTCGCTCGGGGGGGGGCGCGAGGCCCGCCGCGTGCAGCACGCCCTGGGCGACCGCGCGGGCGTGCGGCGCCACGGGCCTCACTGCTCCTTCTTCGCACTGGGTGCCGGGCCCGGCTCCTCGTCCTTCGCTTGGGCGTCGCTTGATGGGGAGCGAAGCATGGTGGGGGGGGGCGGGGGAAGAAAGGCGCACTTCTCGGGCCCTGGAGGGCCCTTTGGGCCCCAGAGGTCCCCTGCAGGGGCCCTGAAGGGTTCCACTCTGCGGTCCCCGCTGCCCCCCCCCTCCCCATGTATCGCCCCTCCCTGCTACGCGACTCCCAATCCGCGTCCTCCTCGTCGTCCCCGGGCAGCCCAGGCACCGAGGCAGGAGGGGGTGGGGCAGGCGGAGGGGGAGGGAGAGCAGGAAGAGTGGGAGGAGGGAGTCATAAGGAGGAGGCGGACGACGACGGCGAGGAAGCAGGAGGGAGGAGGAGGAGGAGGAGGAGGAGGAGGAAGAGGAGGAGGAGGAGAAGGAGGATGAGGACAACACCGACGTCGGCGTCCAGCTGAGGAGGAGGAGGAGGAGGAGGAGGAGGAGGAGGAGGAGGAGGAGGAGAAAATATTAGGATGCCCCGCCCCTCTGGGCGCCGGGATGGGTTCCGGGGGCGCCGCCGGCCGCTGCCAGGCCTGTTGGGCCAGAGGGCGGGGAGGAAAGCGGGGCTGCCTCAGCTCACGCAGCCGAGGAGGAAGGGCAGAGTAGGGAGGGCTGGCTCTCAGGGGCGGGGACGGCGGGGACAAGCTTGGACCGGCGATACATCGCCGACACATCGGCGACAGGCCACCGACAGCGAAGCGCCCGTTCCTGGGCGGGCCGGGCCATCGCAGGCCGCCGTCGGCGATCAGTGGGCGAGCGGGGATCGACGAATTTTCCCCTGAGCCAGTCGCCCCCTCGCGTTGCCAACGAGCAGCTGGTTTTCCCAGCGATGACGACGACAAATCCTCCTGCTCCTCCTCCTCTCCCGCCACTCCTCTCTTCCTTCACTCTCACCTCCTCTCCTCCTCCTCTCCTCTCTCCTCCTCCCTCCCAGCTTTCCTCCCCCCTCCAGCTGCTCCTCTCCCTCATCCTCCTTCCTCCTCCCCCCCTCCATCCTCCTCCTCCTACCTCTACTCCTCCTCCTCCTCACACCTCCTCCTCCTCCTCCCTCCTCCTCTCCCCTCCCCTACCTCCTCTCCTCCTCCTCCTCTCCTCCTCCTCCTCCTCCTCCTCCTCCTCCTCCTCCTCCTCGGGGGCGCCCTGGAGGCGCTCATGCGCCGAGGAGAGCGCCCGAGGGCGGGGCCGGTCGCATGCAGCAGCTGTCGTGCCTCCCCGCTCCCAAATCCCGCCCCTTCGACCGCCCCGCAGGATCCTCAGGAGAGCCCAGAATCGAACCGACAAGTCGGATCGGCGATCGACGTGACTCGGATCGGCGGAAATCGGCAGCCACGTCGGGAGCAGTCGACTCGGCGGACATCGGCAGGCTCCTGGGCCTTCTCTGGGACAGCGGAGCCCAAGTCGCAACCTGAAATCGGACCGAATCCGACTCGGAAGCCAATCGAAGCCGAGGAGTCGAAAAACGCGCCCTCCTTGTCGTCCGACTGGGTCGGGAGACTCCAGCGGCCGATCTCGGGACGACTTCCGGGCGCCAGGCCCCGGAAAACGCCCCGCGGCGAGGCGCAGCGGCTGGGGAGCACCTCGAGGCCAGGAGACTGCCAGGAGCCAACGCAAACGTCCGAAGGTCATGGGCCACAGACAGTGAGTCGGGGCGTTGACCTAAGGAACCCTAAATAAGGAACGAGGCCCCTATTTCCCATAAGTTGAACTTCGATTTCGTATCGAAAACCTAGGGAAAATCCAGGGCAAGCTGCGAAACAATTAAGGAACACGGAGCCCCTCTCCAACGGAAAGGGTTCCTTCTTCAGGGCCCCGACTGTAGGGGCCGGACCGCCAGAAACCTTCCACTAGAAATCCAACCCTGAGACCCCAGGACGTCCATAGCTTTTTGGTGTGGGAGCGTCACGCTTACATCGCAAAGCCACCAAACCAAAGAAACCCAGGGTGTTTCCTGGGGAAAGCAAGGTGTTTCTTGGCATGGGCCCCCACTGTAAAAATCCGAAGGCCCGACCCGTTCCCCAGGGCCGGTTGGTCATCCCGAGTCGCCTCTTGCGGTCCTGGGGCCTGGCAGGGGCCCCCGGAGACCGGGAACGGCGAGAAAAAACCGAAGGGATTTTGTCAATGCGTTGGGGGCCTGGGCCTTTGAAGCCACTTCTCTTTCGACTCCTGCAAGTTCGCTTGCGTGGAGAATGTCGCAGGCCTAGAGATTGACACCAGCACCAATTTCGGAGGTGTGCCTCCACCGAAGGAAGAAGATCCCGATCTCGGCGATGGTGGAAATATTCTGGCTTCCAAGGTGGCCGAACTATTACCACCAGCACCGAAAATCTAGGATCATCTTCCCCCATGTGGAGGCACCCCCCCGTCTTGGTGTTGGTGCCCATTTCCAGGCCTCCGAGAATGGAGGGTGGGTTGCGTGGCGAGGCCCGAGAACTCTGACCTTCACGCGCAAAAGTCGGGACTCACCTGCACGCCGTGGCAGCCCAGCGCTGGCTGAAAAGGCGTCGGAGGGAGGGCGCGGGGTGGGGGGAAATGCCATGCAAGTGAACTTGCCTGGGTCTAAAGTTCGGGCGTCGCTCACCGGGGGGATGAACGAGGGAGCAAAAAGGTACCCTTCTCGGGCCCTGCAGGCCTTCCTGTTGGGCCCTGAAAGGCCCCTTTCCTGCAGCCCTCGATGCCCCCCCTTGCGGCGCCGGAGACGCCGCCGGGGGGGGGGCCAGCGCGGAACCAAGAAATCCGCGCGGAGAGCCACAACATTTCTGTTACATGGCGTGTTTTTATGATTTGGCGGTGGACAAACCTCCCTTTCGCAAGCCTCCCTTTAAGTGAACACGGCCTGGGACCGAAACCGACGCACCCGGACCCGCAGACATGACGGCCGCGAGACCCTCCCACGAACCGAAAACGGCCAATTCGCTAATCGACGTGTCAGGGTAGGAGGTCTATAATTAAGTCGGGCGTGTCCCCCACAGGGGGATTTTGGACGACAAATAAAAAATTGTCAAACAATACCCCAGAATGGTCAAGAATTGTCACAAAATCGTTCCCATATCATTTTTGGACTATTTTTGAATATTCCTGCTGTGGAGGGACAGGCCCGACTTAAGCCGATCAACCTCCGAAATCGTTTGACGCTCTCCGCCCAGCGCCGCGCCTCCCCGGTGGACCACCTGGCGGTGCGCCCGTCGCAGCCGAGCAGCTGGTGGGAGGCCTAGAGGTTGACACCAGCACCAATGTCGGCGGTGTGCCTCCACCGAGGGAAGACGGTCCCGATCTCGGTGATGGTCGTAACACCTCTGGCTTCCAAGGCGGCCGAAATATTACCACCGACACCGAAATCTGGGATCCTTTTCCCCCTGTGGAGGCCAACCCCCTGTGTTGGTGCTGGTGCCCATCTCCAGGCCTCCAGGCTGGGCGCCCTGCAGCCAGGTGGCGCCCGCCTCGGCCCGCAGCGCGCAGGGGGCGCGGGACTGGCCGGGCCGCCGCGGTCGGTGGGGCCGCACCAATGTGGCGCCGCCTCTTAGTCGCTCGCCGAACCCGTCGACCGGAGGGCCAAGAGGGCGGAGGAGGAATGAGGCAAAAGGAGGAGGACGAGGAGGAGGAGGAGGAGGACGGAGGAGGAGGAGGAGGAGGAAGGAGGAGGAGGAGGAAAGGGGGGAGGACAAGGAGGAGGAGGAGGAGGTCAGGAGGAGGAGGAGGAGGAGGGAGGAGGAGGAGGAGGAGGTAGGAGGAGGAGGAGGAGGAGGAGGAGGAGGAGGAGGAAGGGGAGGAGGAGGAGATCCCAGGAGCTCCTCAGAAGAGGCTTCCAGAGGCCCGGGGAGGCCCCCAGAGGCCGACACACACGCGGCAGCGAAGGGAGCGCCCCCAAAACTCTCATCAAAGGGGGCCTGTGAGGGTCTGCCGAGGCCTTCCCTTGGGGGCCCCCCCGCCGCCGCCCTGGGGGCGCGGGGCGCCCCAGAGGCGGCGCCGGGGGCGGCGCCAGGGTGCCGAGACAGGTCCAGGATGCTCTAGGCTCTGGGGTGCGAGGGGCGAGGGGAAGAGGTGCGAGGGTGCGAGGGGGAGAAAGATGCTCTAGGATGCGAGGGTGCTCTAGGATGCTCTAGGATGCTCTGGGGTGCGAGGGGCGAGGGGAAGAGGTGCGAGGGGGAGAGAGAGAGATCGGCTGCGAGGGGCGAGGGGCGAAGACTCCGAGACAGGCGAGGTGCGAGGGGGGAGGAAGATCGGCCCGGGTGGGGCCGTCTTCGTTTCTGCTAAGGATCAGGTCTTCAATGCTGACAGATGGGGGCCGTGGGAAACCTTGTTTGATGTACACCTGCTACCTTCGGGCAGGCCCACTTGGTGCTGGAGTCCTTCAGACGCCAGCTCGGGGGGCGGGGGCTGTGGAGGCCAGCCGCAGCTACCTCGGGGGGGGGGTCCGTGCGCAGCCACCTGCGCCACCTGCAACCGCCTGCGCAACCACCCGCGCCGCTCCTGGACGGGGTCCTCGAGGTCGTGGGGCCCGCCTCCCCGGCAGGATTTGACCATGATCTGGCGGTGGGCCACCAGCCGCGGGGTCGCTCCCGGGGCTCCCCCCCTCGCCCCCCTCCGGGCCGGCCAACCGACCGCAGCTGGGCTGGTGCTGACGCAGAGGCCGGTGATGCTGACCTCGGCGCCCTTCGGCGTGTGCCACCGCCCCTGCAGCTTCGCCTGGAGCGGCACCTGCGCGGGGAGGAAGCGCAGGAGGGGGAGGAGGAGGAGGAGGAGGAGGAGGAGGAGGAGGAGGAGGAGGAGGAGGACGAGGAGGAGGAGAGGAGGAGGAGGGGGAGGAGGAGGAGGAGGAGGAGGAGGAGGAGGAGAGAGGAGGAGGAGGACGAGGAGGAGTAGGAGGAGGAGGAGGAGGAGGAGGAGGAGGAGGAGGGAGGAGGAGGAGAGGAGGAGGAGGAGGGAGGAAGGAGGAGGAGGAGGAGGAGGAGCAGGTGGAGGAAAAGACGGACGAGGGCTCCGTGGATCTGCGCGTGGGCGCGGAATCCCTGGGTCGAGGTAGGCATCACCCGAAACGTGGCGCCAATGCTGCCCGAGGTGGCAACGGACCTCGTGCTTCGCATGGCAGCGAGACCTGGCGTTACTCGATGCGCATGGATCCGTGGTTCAGCTTCCTCGAGTTTCTGACGAGGACGAGGAGGAGGAGGAGGAGGAGGAGGAGGAGGAGGAGGAGGTGTTTCTGACAGCACATCGATCTGTCAAACTTGAGCGATGGCAGGTTTCCGATGCCGCGGGTCGATCGAAGCGCAGGCCGATTCTGGGCCACTAGCGGCGTTTAACCTTGGGGCCGCCGCGCCCACGCGGTGCAAGCCTGCCAGGAGCGATCGACGCCAAACCCATGACCCCCTGCCCGCGCCCAACCTGCATGGATC